CTGTGTTTCCTAAGATATATACAATGTTTAATCACTGGTATTGCTAGACTGTTCACACCTAAAGCCAGTTGAGTTCAGTGCTTTGTACGAGCCCTGGAGAACTGCAGTTCAAGCTATGGTACAAACATATTGTAAATACGGCACTGATACGTTAATACCAGCCATTGAAATGTAAATGTACCATCAAATGGTGGCTAACTTGCTGGTTATTTTAAATAATTTCTATTTCAAAGCTTTTCAGGGTTTTGCATTCCTCTGAAAATGGTTTCAGCATCACCTCAACTTGTGTCAAATATTTTTCACTTATAAAGTCATGTTGTGAGCTGCTAGTTTACATTCTGAAACCATAAAAGGTTTGAAACTTCAGATAAAAATATCAGATCACTGTACATGTCTATATTCAATCAATCAATCAGTCTCTTAAGTAGGTGACTTCTCTAACACAGGACATACAAGCTGCCTTAATGAGTAGTTGCTAAACTGATTCTCAGTATGGTTTCATGAAAAAAAAATCAGAATGATTGTGAACACCAATTAGTACCATGAACCTGACTACCCCAATTATTGCTACAAACAATTTTATGAGCATTAGCTTGAAACCCTGAAGTTTGAGTGATTGAGAAACTTTAAAAATTCTTATCCTCACTTGCAAATCCGTCTATGGTCTTGTCTCTTCCCATCATTAGTCTTCTCCAATCCCATAATACTATCGGTACAAACTGACACACAAATTAGGATAAATAGGCTGTTTGGCTCCTCAAGTCTGACTGCCATTCAATAAGATCATGGATGATCTGATTATTCCACATAACGGACAATTCCCAACCCCCAATCCCCAACCTAATAACCTTACATCCCCTTCCTTCTGTAATTTGGCCTCTTATAATTGTAATGCTCCACATTGGTATGCATGCCCTGAGAAGCCTTCACTCCAACCTCTCCACCACTCTCCTTGCTTTGTTCCTTTAAGTCACGTTTTAAAACCTACCGCTTTCATCTAACTTTTGGTCATCTGAACTGGTATCTCCATATGTCATACGGTGTCATGCTTTGTTTCATAATTTTCCTGTGAAGCCCCTCGAGATGTTTCATTGTGTTAAACAGTGCTGTAAGTCATTAGCTAAACTGCAGACTTCAGCGGTTCAAAATACACCTTAGCAGTTTCAGTTTGATATCAATACAAGTTTAAATATAGTTACTAATCTGTTTGAACATGTTATGACAAACTACAATGGCAGATTGGTCTTGAATCCAAACTTTTGGTCCAGAGGTAGTGACACTACCCCTGCACCACAAGACACTTATAAATCTAATTACAGCAAAGGATAAAATAAAATTGTACTACTGTTGGCCTTGCTAATTTCATGTTAATGGTAGCCCTTAAGTGAACAATGAACACATTAGACCAACATATGAAACTTCTACCACACCAAAAATTAAATGTTTCCAATCCTGTACTTTGTGGATTAAACCAATTGTGTACATTTTAACCTTTGTCTCTGATAACAACTAATTGAACTTGAATATGTTTACAGATAAATTCTTTTTAAAGATCGAGTGTTCAGTGGTGGGGCTACTTCAGAATGAAAGCGCTGTCTTGAAGACCCTCCTTGAAGCCATTTTGGTCAAGACACATTAGGACTGACCTTGATAGCTTTTTCTACTGCCAGTAAGTTGTGTAGGAAGCAGCTCTGCAAGCTCAGACCCAGCTACACAAGCAGCTGAAAGACATAGCTTCACCAAAAGCGTGTCATTAACCTCAAATCTCAACCCATTCTGCACAAACCCAAACTTCTCCACTTCCAGCAGGTAAACTTCCCAATCTTCGGGCATTTACATCTGCACTTCTATACTCATCAACAACTGCACTGCATTTCAAGGCATTAAAACTCAAACTCCAGTAGATTTTTATTTGAAAATCATTCTGCTAAACCTAAATTAACGTCATAGGTTTAGAAATGCAGATGGTTTCAAAATCCTGGTTCTGATATTACTACTTAAATATTATTGAAAACATACTTAAATAGTTGTGGCTACTATTAAGTATTATTATCAGATGATCTGCTCCAGCTTCAGGCAAAAATCCAAAATGCCACAAAAAAAGGAAAATAGACTAAATTAAAAAGGCCCAAGTCAGGATAATGGTGGAAAATTCTGCCTGATTTGTACAGCTGTAAACGGCTCTCAAAGCTCAGGACCATCCACAGCAATGCAGTCCACTTAACTAGTAGCCAATTTATCACTATGGCAGCAACATACATTATGTCCGGATGCATTTGCAACCACGTAATGACTTCCACCACTTAGAAGGGCATGGACAGCAGGGGCATGACACAAAATCACTGACTATTTCAGCTTTTCCATTCTTAAATTGATGCCAGATCAAAGTCCTACAGCTCCCTACCTAACAACGTTATGGAAGTACCTGCACCACGTGGTATGCAGTAACTGGAGAGTCCAGCTCACCATTAGCTTGAGGACAATGAGCACAGGCAATAAAAGCTGGCCATGTTGCTTACTGGGCTGAAATTCATTTGCTTCTTTTAAGTCCAACTTTAATTGTTTAAGAGGTTTCAGGGAATAGGATGTGAACTTTGAGCACTACTTTAGCCAACATTCTACACTCGCTCAATCCAGATGTACGTGTAGATAAGATTACCACCAGTCTGCCTGCCCTGGTGACAGGATCCTAGATGTGGTCCCCACTTCAAAGCCATAATTCTATCATCCACAAGAGAAGGAGATAAAGTGATGTAGACCTAAAATGTTAATTCTGCTTTATCCACCTCAGATGCTGTCAGATCTGTTGAGTACTTTGACAATATTTTTGTTTATTTTGTATTAGAGATATAGCAACTGAGTTTATGACATAACACTATTACAGATACCAGTTTTCGCACTAGCTCTCAAATGTTAGTAAAGACAACTTTGCAGTGTCAACAGGGCTGTATTTGCCAGTGTCATTTCTGATGCTTGGTTGTTGCCAAATAATTCATCCAGTTTTATTCCTTTATTGCCTTTATAGCATTTGTTACAATTAAATGGTGGTTTCCTTCTCTTTAATGAAGAAACCCTCCATCTTTACCTGGTCAGGCCTCCACGTGACTCCAGACCCACAGTAATATTATGGACTCTTAACTGCTCTCAAATGGTCGGGAAAGCCATTCAGTTGTATCATTTCTTAGAAAGAGGAATAGGAATGAAACCAGACTGATCACCAGGCATCAACTGAGGCAACAGAATGACACGGGAAAACTCAGCCCTGACGACTCCTCCTCGTGGACGTCTGGGGCTGCTGCCAAAACTGAGAGAGCTGTCTGAGACTAGTCAAGCAACAGCTTGTCATAGTCTCCTCAGGCAGGCCCTTCCAAACCCACGACCACTTCCATCTAGAAGGACAAGGGCAGTAGATATGTGGGAACACCACTACTTGCAAGTTCCCCTCCAAGCCACTCACCATTCTGACCTGGAAAAATATCACCATTCCTCAGTATCATTTGGTCAAAATGTTAGAACATTCTCCCTAACGGCATTGCATGAATGAGTTAATGAACCTTTACTTTGCTCTTGTCCCAATCCAAAATGTTGAGGGGGGTTGGGGGGAGTGAGGACATCTGACGTCAGGGCTGGGAGTCGTTCCTCAGGAATTGGCACAAACACAGAATGCTCCTGAGTGGATAGAAGTTCAATTCGAGCCAATGGTTAAACCTACAACCCAGCCAGGCAAAAAAAACATGCCTTTTCCTCCTCGCTTCCCCTTAAAGCTTGAATGCAAAACTTTTGAAGAAAGTGACTACAAAATGGACCGCAGTGGTTCGAGGACCCAACTCACCCCCATCACCACTCAAGGACAACTAGAGATGGTCAATAAATATTGCCTCAGCCAGCAACTCTCAAGTTCCGTGAATCAAAACCAAATCATAGCATCTTCCAAAACTTTTCCCAATGTGACTCTACTTCATGTGAGACCCCGGAGAGAAAATTGTGGGGGAGGAGAGTGCTTTGAGGTAGTTTTGGGGTGTCCATGAGATTTATCAGGTTTGTAGGGGCAGGGGAGGCACAGCTCAACCTAACTTCATTTGCTTGAGGGCACAGATCAGTCAGAACCCGAGACAAGGTGCAGGGCTGGATGAACACAGCAGGCCAAGCAGCATCATAGGAGCAGAGAGGCTGACGTTTCGGGCCTAGACCCTTCATCAGAAAAGGGGGAGGGGAAGGGGGTTTTGAAATAAATAGGGAGAGAGTGGGAGGCGGATAGAAGAGGGATTACGAGAGAGTTATTGGACCAGCATTTGTCAAATAACAAGGGTACTTTTAAAAGAACAGAGCGCCTTCAAACCATCCCAAGGCACTTAGCAGCCAGAGGTCCTTACACTCAGCACAGGGAAACTTAATTCAATGTGTCAGCAACATTAAAACAACTTAAAGGCAGTGTCCCAACAGCGACGGTCATCCAAACCCTCACACCCAATAAATACACCCAAATACTTTAAACTGTCTCAGCTTTAAAAGTATAAAGTCCAATTCGGATATTTGAACGGACAATCTCTCCCACCATGGCAAACCGCAAAACAAATGAATCTTCCTGCACCGCTGAATTTATATATGTGCATATATTCCACAGCATTGGAGAAGGCAACAGCCAATTCTTTTTGCGTGTGTGCCTTTAAATAAGACATGGGTCCGCCTATACTGCACTCCCTTGTGTTGCGAGGAAAAGGCTGGAATGTAGAAACACGCTGTTTCACTAGTTTAGTTACGTATGTATATCTTTCACCCAACTCACTCTCTACATGAATCCTTATGCAAAAGCCCCCGCCCACAGAACTGGGTAAATCCTCAATTTAAAGTCATGCTTTCCATACCCAAATAAATTACAAGGAGTCTCTGGGGCGGGGGAAAATTGTGACATTTTCCACGGATAAAACTTTAGAAATCAACAGCAAACCTCTCAGTAAATTGTTATGAGCTGCATAAAAAAAACACACACAGACGCTTACCCACAATCACACACAGGACATCCACCAGGACGAAAACAATTCTTTTTTCGAACATCCTGACACGGAAAGGTTCACAATCCTCCCAGGGCTTCCCGGAGCTATTTCGATACAGATATGAAGAAAACAAGAGGCTTAAAAGAACAGGGAGTAGAAACAAACTATTTAAGATCGCGCATCAGCAAACAACACACACACACAAAAAAACAGCAAGCTGCAACCTGAACTTCCAGTTCTTCCGGAATCTTAAGTACCTGTCTCAATCTGCAGTGCCACACGCACAAATGTTATATTTTTTTTTCCCTGGTTGCCTGCTCTCTCTCTCTCTCTCTCTCTCTGCTGGTCACTTTCACCAGGAAAGTGGGGCCAGGACTGAAATTCGCACGCTGTAACTGAACAGGAGCTGCTTTCTCCTCGCTAGCCGAACCCACTCGCTTTGTCTTCCACCTCTACGCACACACACAATTGTATGAATGAGTTAATGAACCTTTCTTTTCTCTTGTCCCAATCCGAAATGTTGGGGGGGGGGTTGAGGACATCTGACGTCAGGGCTGGGAGTCGCTTCTCAGGAATTGGCACAAACACAGGATGCTCTTGAGTGGATAGAAGTTCAATTCGAGCCAATGGTTAAACCTACAACCCAGCCAGGCAAAAAAAAACAAAAAAAACATGCCTTTTCCTCCTCGCTTCCCCTTAAAGCTTGAATGCAAAACTTTTGAAGAAAGTGACTACAAATTTTCTCTAACCTTCTGCAATTAGCGGTTACAAATGTCGTACCCGGTACTGGCTGCACCTTAATTTCAGTCCAAAGTCTAACCGTGCCGCACTTTCTTTGTGTTTTGGTTTGAAAATGACTCTGGAGTCTACCAGCTGTCACCTGTACATCTGCAAAATATTCAAAATCTACGTCGATCGGTCTTTTCCACATTAACGTGTCTCTCTTCACCGCCACCCCCTTCTAATTTTCTATGTGCATATTTATAAAACAGATTGGCTTATCTAAATTTGCCACTCTACCATTGCGCCCTTTCGCTCAGTTTTGCATTGTCCAGCTCCTCAGTCTCTGGTGAGCTATTTCATTGATTCCATAAATACAATTTGTGACTACATAAATGTATGGTAGGAATGTGGGACTTTAAAATGGGGACCGAACGAGGTTTGCCCTAAGTATCCTGACCTTCTACTCTCTGTTTTGCTTGAAAACTATGCTTGATCTTCTCTCCCTCCTCCAATTTTCATAGTCACAAACATTGAGGATTATCAATATTTTTATATTCCATGGGATGTTGGTGTCTCTGACAAGACCAGCACTTGTTCCCCACCTCTAGCTGCCCTTGAACTCAGTGATTTGCTCAACCAGTTTAGAAGATAGTTAAGTCTACCACACTGCTGTTTTGGTCTGTAGGCCAGATTGAGTATGTGTGGTTGATTTCTTTCCCTAAAGAGTATTAGCGAGCCAGATGGGTTTTTTTATGACAATTGAAGATGGTTTCACAGTCACCATTACTGACACTAGCTTTCGATTCCAGAATTATTTATTGAATAAGATTGATCTGCTGCCATGGTAAGAACCAAAACCATATCCCTAGAGCATTAGACTGGGTCTCTGATTATCAATATGGCATCATTTCCTTTCTCTCTATATATATATACTTGTATGTATTATATATAGATTCAAAACTCTGTCCAGCAATTCGGCATTCAGTTTCCTATTAAAGCAAAGCTGCACTATCAGAGGCATTGCACTTTTGAATGATGCATTAAACCCAACCAGTACTTCTCATGTGGATGTAAACAATACCCTTGTCACTATCTGGAGAATAGCTGATGAGTTCTTCTGCTGCCTTGAATTTATTATTGAAACAACTCCTTCAAAAAAACAGATAACCCTGTTTCTGAAACCACACTAAACTGGCTAGTGTTTTTACTTAGAAGACAACTGTCACCCACATTTCATCGGCTGTGAAACAATTTAGGACATCATGACAAGGTGCTATATAAAAGCAATCTTTTTGTTCATTAACATTTCCTATAAACACTCTTTCTTGAGTGTTTGGCTTGTAACTGGGTTGCATTGTGTGGCATTGAATTCTAGTGATGAGGATCACAGTAGCTTTGATTCTGAACAATGCAGGTACCTGACTGCAGATCGGACACTAGTGAAGGGTCATTATTGAGCAGAGATTCCTTCCCGCTTTATTGCCTAGCAATCCCCACAGGAAGTGTGTGGATGAACACATGACCAGTCAGCGATTGTTCACATGGATAATAATCAATTCTTGATTATTCTAAACCAAAATCAAGCTAATGTCTTTCAATGCTTTCTCTTTCCTGTTGTAAACCCCTGTAATATAACATTCCAGGAGACCTTGCGGTCACCTGCTTCCTGAAATGCAGTGGTTTAAAATTACAGTGGCTGAATGACTGACTAATTAATTTTTAAACTCCTTAACAAAAATAAACTAATACCCATATGCCACTATTTTGAAATCCAAACTCTTAAAAAATATATATAATACACGCATCTCACATACATTCTATGTCAGTAACCTTAAAATTTCAATTACCATAGCATTAACAGTTCAATCCTGGTGCTGTGTTACGCTAACAAACAGAACTGTAGTGTAGAATATTGTAGTTATCAGTGATGACTGATTGTGCTGTTAGACACATATTTTTATCTTCTATGTCTTCTATTTTGCTATGAAGATTTCCTGTTTACTCAGGTTGTGGGATTATTAAGTAAATAGGTTCTGACTTAACCCTGAGTAATAATGTACACCCTGATCAAGACATTGGGTGATTATTTAAGAATGCCTTTCCTTTTAGTATTCCTTGTGGATAGAGTTTGTGGAGAAGGACTGCCATAAAGGAAAAGTGGCAAAGACTCCCCTTAGAGGGGCTTTTGAATATAACAATGAAAGGTGGCAAGGGACAATCAAAATGATAAAGAGGTAGTGAGCAAGCTTTGATGCATTCGTACTGGTCATTTTAGAATTTGAGTTGTTGAATCATTGTGGAATCATGATGGATAACTCAGAACCTAAGGAATACAGTATGACGATCAAGTGATGAAAATAAGAAAAGCAAACATTGATTTATGTCATGACCTAAGATTCAGTGTTCTGCTCCCCTCCAGGATGTGAGCTTCAATTTCACCAGATATAGAAGTCTCCAATCTGCTGGCATGAGGGGTTCTGTATGAACAGAATTTGGATTATCCTAATTCTGTTCTCACAAAGAATACTACATTCACAACACAAGACTCCTCTTCATAAGGCACATATGGTGCTAAATTGATCACCTTATTTTGACAGGCCAAAGGAATGGCGAAGGTGGGAAATGGGGAATCGAAGATAGGAATATCTGAATTACTCCCGGTGCCACGAGTTAGTGAGAGTAGGGTAGAGCACCTGATTTTGTGGCTGGGGAGCTGGTGCAAGGGATAAAGATTCACATTTTTGGATCTTTTATATCTCTTCTGGGATAGAAGTAACCTGTTTAAGAAGAATGGGTGCACCTGAATTGGAAAAGGACTAATATATCGGCAGGGAGATTTGCTGGAGCTGCTCGGGAGGATTTAAGCTAGAAAGGGGAGCGGGGTGGCACTAAGGGAGATAGTGAGGAAAGAGAGCCATCGGACACTGGTACAGCTGGGAAAAGAATCAAGTCAAACAGTCAGGGCAGGCAGGAACAAAGCAGAGAATGAGATAGGATGATAAATTAAACTACATTTATTTCAATGCAAGAGACCTAACAGGTAAGGCGGATGAACTCAGGGCATGGTTGAGAACATGAGACTGGGATATCATAGCAACTATAGAGACGTGGCTCAGGTATGGGCAGGACTGGCAGCTTAATGTTCTAGGTGTTGATGCTATAGGAAGGATAGAAAGGGGGGGCAAGACAGGACAGGCAGTGATAACAAAGTGTGGAGCTGGAGGAACCTGATGAAGGGTCCTGACCTGAAACGTCAACTTTCCTGCTCCTCTGATGCTGCCTGGCCTGCTGTGTTCCTCCAGCTCCACATTGTGTTTTTTCTGACTCCAGCATCTGCAGTTCTTGCTACCACAGGATAGGCAGTGGTGTTTTTGATTACAGATAACATTACAGCTGTATTTAAGGAGGATTTTAACTTTCCAAACATTGACTGGGACTGTGATAGTGTTAAGAGATTGGATGGAGAGGAATTTGTTAAGTTTGTACAAGAAATGTTTCTGATTCAGTATGTGGATGTACCTACTAGAGAAGGTGCAAAACTTGACCTACTCTTGGGAAATAAGGCAGGGCAGGTGACTGAGGTGACAGTGGGAGAGCACTTTGGGGCCAGTGACCATTATTCTATTAGTTTTAAAATAGTGATGGAAAAGTTAAAGTTCTAAACTGGAGAAAGGCCAATTTTGACGATATTAGACAAGAACTTTCAAAAATTGATTGGGGGGGGAGCGGATGTTTGCAGGTAAAGGGGTGGCTGGAAAATGGAAAGCCTTCAAAAATAACATCACAAGAGTCCAGGGACAGTATGTTAGGGTGAAGGGCAAGGCTGGTTGATGTAGGGAATGCTGATGACTAGAGAAATTGAGGTTTTGGTCAAGAATAAGAAGAAAGCATATGTCAAGTATTGACAGCAGGGATTGAGTGAATCGCTAGAAGAGTATAAAGGTAGTAGGAGTATACTTAAGAGGGAAATCAGGAGGGCAAAAAGGGAACATGAGATAGTTGTGGCAAATAGGGTTAAGGAGAATCCAAAGGGATTCTACAAATACATTAAGGACAAAAGGGTAACTAAGGAGGGAATAGGGCCCCTTAAAGATCAGCAAGGCTGCCTTTGTGTGGAACCACAGGAGATGGAGGAGATACTAAATGAGTATTTTGCATCAGTGTCTACTGTGAGAAGGAAATGGAAGATAGCGAATGTGGGGAAATAAATAGTGATATCTTGAAAAATGTATATACTATAGAGGAGAAGGTGCTGGATAGCTTAAAACGCATAAAGGCAGATAAGTCCCCAGTGCCTGATCTCTGTGGAAAGCTAGGGAAGTGATTGCTGGCCCCTTGCTTAGCTATTTGTATCATCGATAGCTACAGGTGAGGGGCCGGAAGACTGGGGATTGGCTGACATGGTGCTACTATTTAAGAAAAGTGTTAAGGAAAAGTCAGGGAACTATAGACTGGTGAGCCTGACATCGATGGTGGGGAAGCTGTTGGAGGGAATCTAGAAGAACAGGATTTACATGTATTTGGAAAGGCAGGGACTGATTAGGGATAGTCAACATGGCTTTGTGCATAGGAAATCGTGTCTCACTGAATCAATTGAGTTTTTTGAAGACGTAACAAAGTGGATTGATGAGGGCAAAGCGGTGGACATGAACTATATGGACTTCAGTACGGCATTCAACAAGGTTCCTCATAGTAGACTGGTTAGCAAGGTCAGATCACATGGAATACAGACAGAACTTGCCAATCGGATACAGAACTGGCTTGAAGGCAGAAGACAGAGGGTGGTGGTGATGGAGGGTTGCTTTTCAGATTGGAGGTCTGTGACCAGCAGTGTGCCACAAAGGTTGGTGCTGGATCCACTGCTTTTCATCATTTATATAAATGATATGGATGTGAACATAGGAGGTATGTTTCGTAAGTTTGCTGATGACACTAAAATTGGAGGTGTAGTGGACAGCAAAGAAGGCTACTTCAGAGTACAACGGGATCACAATCAGTTGAGCCAATGGGCTGAGGAGTGGCAGATGGAGTTTAATTTAGATAAATATGAGGTGCTGCATTTTGGAAACACAAATCAGGGCAGCACTTACATACTTAATGGTAAGGTCCTGGGAGTGTTGCTGAACAAAGAGACCTTGGAGTGCAGGTTCATAGTTCCTCAAAAGTGGAGTCGCAGGTAGATAGGATAGTGAAGAAGGCATTTGGTAGCTTGTGTTTATTGGTCAGTGCATTGAG